CCAAACAGTAGGGTAGCTTGGGAAGTCACCGAGGTTCTCCTCAGGATCCGTGACATCCCCTAGTTCTTCTTCCTTTGGATTCCATAATAAATGTTCCAAATTTGAGTCATTCTCATTTCACACCTCTTCGTCTAATCTCTTTGAAAGATGTTGTTTCTTGAAATTCTTGAAGATAATATCCCATAATTTTTATCGAGAGTTTTCTTATGATTTTTATCGAGAGTTTTCTTATTATCGAGAGTTTTCTTATGTGACTTCGGTTTTCTAAGATGAAATTAACTATAAGGGCTTTCCTTTATAGGAAACCCTTTCGAACCCAGCTTAATATAAACCATATTTAATTTTTTATATAAAATAGGGGAACTTGTCAGCTTACAAATAAAAATGGTTTTGCAGACCAAACATATGTCATATATTTTTTAGTTTATTTCATCAAGCCTCGCCCTCAGGCCTTATGTTTATCTTTCGGGATAGATACATTGCTTGAGGTGTATTGCTCTTTCATTTAAACTGTAAAAAATATGGGATCTATTTGATTTCATATTTTTTTGAAAATTATATATATATATATAATGCTATGTAAAATTAAATATAATGAGTCACGAGTCAATTTCGAGCTGAAACATATCCAAATAACTCAATTATATATGTATGTATGTATGTAAATTAAATATCCCACCGAAGCGGGCGACGAGATTCAGTTTCCGGCGACCGACAGCTTCCACAAGATGACTCCCCCTAAAAATTGTGCCGACCAGCTTCTGGTGACTCCGCTTGGGAAGGTTTCTCTCTCCATTTAAATCAATGAGTATTGTCTTCAAACATCAATAATGTGTCTATGTCTCTTATGGATCAAATTACCCTTCTTTCGTTGGCATGCTTCACCCATTTCTCTCTTGGGTGAGTTCGATCAACTCTATTGAACTTCAGGATTGTTTGTTCAACCATCTTTGAACAAAGAGGTTCAAAAGTTCGTTAGGACTTTTAATCCTTGTGTGGGGTCGGACCCCCAATAGGTGTGTTGGTTGACTAGTTCTGCTTAGGCATTTTGCGTTGTGAAGTCGGTCCTGCACTGGGTCCTAAACTTCACTTTCTTTTTCGATTTTGGTTTGTTATTTTGCAAATTAAATCAAGCTTTGTCGTGTTGCGCTTTCTAATTAAACCTTCTATATATAATTATTTAAATTCTCCTATTTTCAAACTTATTTATACTAAATTCCAAAATATTTTTCACAAACTAAACTTTAAAGAAAAGACTTGCCTAGTCTACATATTTACCTTTGTTAACTTTATTGTTTTCACTAGAGTTACAAAGTATTGGCCAAATAACTAACCTCAGAGCATTCTTTTTGAAGCTACTACAATGGCATTCCCTAAGCTCACTTTCTTGTGCAACCTGCCGGCAAGCCACGATGCCCGCAATGTCGCTCCCACTATCAAGTTTGGAGCCAGTTTCGATGAACTTGAAGTCGTGCTCAGAAAGCTCCCTTTTTCATAATCAAAGTTACCGCTCCAGAAGTTCAGGAACCATCTGTTAAGTTCAACTTAAACTGCCATCAAGATTTCCCTTCTTACCGGAAGGTGAAGACTACTGCCCCAGCACTAGTTCACCCTGTTGTTCCTGTTTTGACTAAGGGAAAAGAGGTTATGATCGTTGAGGATACAACTGAAGGACCCACTATTCTACCTTCAGTGTTTGAAATCAGATCGAGTTCGAAGTCTGCCCCATTAACTTGGTCGCAAAGGAGAAACTGCAACCGAAAGGTTCGGAAGTCTACTAAAGTCCAGATTTCTGAATAAATGACTATTGATGAAATTCCTCATCAGGAGGAATTCGAATTGTTGGAAACCTATGCGCTTCTGCGAGGGAGTAGGTTCCATCCCTTAATGGACACCGAAGGGTACAAAAGTATCCATAAAATCTTGACAAAGTTACTGTTATCTCATGGACATGGTGGGGAGAGGAAGAAACCCGCTCCTATCATCCGAGTTAGTACAGTATTCCAGAGACTACTTACTAAGGAGGGTTGTTCAGTTGGTGAATTACTTAAACTAATGGGATGTGCAGTGTCCCCTCGCATCAAGAAAGAAATTTTAAGAGATGTCAGATCTGCTAGAAGATCTTAAAGACCAACTGAAACGTTGCCAGCTCGCATTCCTGTTAGGTTCCGCTTGGGAAGCAGATTTGATACCACCATCATCACCACCACTTATACTATTGCTACTTTGAGACCTACAGGCTGTCGACCGGTTAAGTCACTGCTGGGTTTGAGAATTCTGCCAGTTACCATCCATAAGGATGTTTCTATCTCCAACCACTCACAACAAGCCAACAACTCTTGTATAGGCGCGTCAGCTGGTTCTATAGGTACTTTAGGGGAGGCACCAGCCATTTCCCTCATCTAGTGCTCCATTGAATTGGAGGACAATGTAGATTTTCTCAATGTTCCTTATGAGAACTGCTAAGGTGGCAGATCAATGTTGATGAAATATGATTACTTGAATATTGAGGTGTAGCAATAAGATTTTGCTGCTTAACCATAGGCATTGGGGCAGAATCAACAATGTCATTCATCGGTGGCCCAAAATCAACATCGGTCTCTTATGCAACTGACTCATCTGCATTAAGAAATGTGAAGGACTTGCTAAAGATTATCAAAATCAAGAAAAATCTACATGTTCAGAAGTCTATTAGATTCAAAAAGGGTGGCAAAAAATAAGTGGTTCCTTGTGTTGGAGGGATGACGTCCTTATTCCGCAGTGGAGGCGAAGGGAAATATGCATTTACTTTTTCCTTCATTCCCTGGGCACCCAAGCTTGCTTCGGTAGATGAGGTGGTTTGCAGATTATCCTCGACAATTATGCCGTTATTGGGACCGTAATTCTGGCCCTCATAGCAGGCGTCTGTTTTCTTGGACTACTTCGTCACCTGACTGTTGGGACCTTCCAAACAAGTGACTTGATCAACTAGTTCAGTTGCGGGTGTCGAGCGCTTCTTTTTCTTCAAGATTTTGCTTTTTTCCCTTCTCCGCTGTGGTAGGCTCAAGAAGTTGAAAGCCTTCCAAAGCTAACAGGAGGATGTCTGCATCCTTCTTGCTAGAACCGTTAACCATGATGTCGATCAAAGGATTTCAGAGAAACTTTAAGAAGATGAATTACAACACAAACTTCGTGGCCCTATTTATATGTTCACCAGACACAAATATCAAGGGAGAGTTTTTCCTTAAATTAATTTGTTTGATTGCATTGTCATTAATTACTTAAGAATTTCTTTTTCCCCATCGTAATCATCGGCATTAAGAGGCAGAAAAATCGGAGAACTAATATATATATACAAAAAATCCCAGCATGGATCTTAAATGATCAAACGGTTGAGATGGAGTATCGGGCGACTTAGATTTTCGCCGAAGTTAGAGATGCCTCGTCGGGTGAGCAACAATATCGGTCGACGGTAGATCGATTGAGCGACCTCATGGGAATTTTGTCAGGCAACTACACCAGTATATTAGAATCCTCTGCGGAATCGATCTGATTGTCAGTCGACAAAATCAGTCATTTATTTAATTTTTTATAATAATAATGTAGTTTTTATTCGACAAACACGTCAATTCAGTTATTTGGGTAGTTACATTAACCATTCCCTTATTCTTACGTAAATGTATTTTGAAACTCTTATTAGTTGGAGGTTAGAATTCAAATAATGGGAGAACTTTTCTCTTTTTAGATTCTCTCTTTGTTTCTCTCAACTCTAACTTGAGGAGTGTATTCATAGAAGATAATTTATGATTCAACATGAAGTATGAAATGAACTACTCTCATAGGAAAAGCCTTATTCTAAGACCTATCATGACACTGATAAAGGTTTTCTACTTTTAAAACTATTATGCTTCAAAATGTCCAATCATGACAAAAAATATTGTGAAAGTGTAATAATTTATTTGCATTTATTTAATAGTTTAGTTGTATTGTCTAATAATTTAGTTGAATTGAAGCATAACAAATGCTGTAAATTCAACGACTCATCCAATAACAATAATACCACCCGGAAAATAAGCTTTTTGAGGCATCCGAGCATATTCTTTTCTTTATAAAATTACACTCTGTTTATAATACTTTTTTTCTAAAAACTTTGAGCATGATTCATTATATTACTTTAATAGCATATTATGCACATCAGCAATTATTTAAATTTAAAATCAATAAATTTTTTTTAATATTTGACTGAAGTCATCATATTAATTATTTTATTCAATTACTATATAGCAATTATTTTTTTTTTTTTTAAATTTCTTGCTCAACTCTTCATCATTTTAAGCCACATTCATACAATCCAATAATAAATGGGCTATGGAGATGCATTCCAAATAATTTTTAGGCATTTATTAATTTTATAAATAAACTTTAATATTGATTTATAAAATACCTTAGTAGTAGCTCAATCACATCAAAACATATACATAAATACATAAATATTTTATTTTAAAAATGTTAATATCAATGGTGATTTTATTCAAGCATTTAGATGTTTTTATATAAAATTTTCAAGTATTGCATTTGTAAAAGTGCAAGAATTTTATGGTAGGTATGTAAATCTCTCAGCCCTACCCTAAAAAAGGGAAAAAATTTGCGTACGTAAGGGGTACACAGAGATGTGTACATAATAGGGTACACGGGATTTATACGTGGATTACAAGCGGGTTATAATGTGGTTATAACCCCGTTGTATCTCCCGTGTAACTCCCGTGTAACCCCGCTGTAACCTTGTAATCTCAATGGATAAAATAAAAGCGCGGGTTACAACTGAGTTACACGAAAGTTACAAGGAAGTTGTAACACACTTGTAACTCGCATGTAAGTCTCATATAACGTCCGTATACCCTATTATGTACACATCTCTGCGTATCCCTTGACGTACACAAATTTTTTCCATAAAAAAGAAAGAAAAAAAACATATTATTTTATTAATAACAACTTTTCAAAAGTAAAAGGTTGTTGGGAAAGTGGGGTCTAAAGATACTTTTTGTAAAGTGCATACATAATATATATGAAGATCCTATGCTAAACGAATTGCTATAAAAGGATTTTAGCGTTGTGAGGGGGCTTCAAGAAAAGAAGTGCCACCAAAAAAACCCTCTCCTCCAACTAATATTACCAAAATACCACTTGCCCGGATCATGAAGCTCCCCATCGCCGAAACACCATCTCCACTTTCCCCACTCGAAAACATTCCTTCCACTTTATCCCAAATCATCCTCTCCGGCAATGACCCACTCGATTCCGCCTTCGCCCACATCTCGCCGCTGCCGCCTTCGCCGGCGACATCACCACCACTTAAAAACCTCGGCACCTCCATCTACCTCCAAATCTCCGAACTGATCCGATCCACCTCCCCCCATTTCTCGGACGCAAGAAAAAAACTGTATCGAGGAGTTCGACAAAGACAATGGGGCAAATGGGTCGCTGAGATCCGTCTACCTCGGAATCGGATGCGAATTTGGCTCGGCACCTACGACTCCGCCGAGGCGGCTGCCTACGCGTACGACTGCGCTGCATACAAGCTCCGTGGAGAATACGCCAGGCTTAATTTTCCAGAGATGAGGGACGCCGAAGGGCAGTGTTCGGAGAGGCTTAGGGAGCTCAGATCCGCCGTTGATTCGAAGATACAGAGCATTAGTCAGCGGATCATGAAGCAGAGGAGGTTAAAAAGGGGAAAAGCTGAAGAGAAGGGGAAGGAAGTGGAAAGTTCTTCTTCTTCTTCGTCTTCATTTTACTGTGCATCCGGCGGGAGCGGGACCGGCGATGCTGGCTGCGCCGAGATGGACGGCGACGAGTGCTGGTTGTCGAGAATGCCTTCTTTTGATCCGGAGATTATCTGGGAAGTACTTGCTAATTAAAAATCTTCCTGGGGCTTAAAGACAATATTAATTCAAGTGTCCATTTATAGAATAAATTAGTATTATAATTATAGTAAGCCCTGTGATACTTCTCTTTTAATAAACAATTTGATTAAGGAATAACGCTTTCAAGCTTATCTTATCCCAAACCAAATAATTTTTGTGGCTTTCATCGACTGTCATGATATGATTCCAAGCTGATTGGTTATAATTATATTTATTTTTGGATATTCAATCTTGATTTGAGCATATAAATTTTATATGAACACAACGTTAATTTTAGTTTTAATAACCCTTTTTTCTTTTTTTTTTTAATAAAACTAAATCTTCGTGCATGCGCGTGAATATGTATGAAAATATTGATTACATGAAATCATACATTTTGTTTCAATTATGAGAAGGCTCGCTTTAATTAATTCGCTTAGTTTAAATTTGATCAAATTCAAAATTTATTTTAAATCTTATTTCGATTCAATTTGAAAACGTGTGTTGCTGCCCGCAACCTTACAAAATGTTAGTGAAGGGGTTCAACTTTCAATTTAATAAACCAAAAAACTTGAAAAATAGGCTTTATTTTTTGACAAATGTGAGCCAAGGATCATAAATACGATTGGAATTCACACTGTTAAAATGAAAAGTATTGTCTTCAATTTGGGGTGTAAACTAGTCGAGTCGAGCTTGAGCTGCCCTCAGCTTGTGCTTGAGCTTGAGCTTGATTAATTTTATAGAGCTCGAACTCGAGCTTCAGTCTACGAGTTCGCATCACTCGCAAGCCAGTTTGTTCAATATAAAAGAGAAAATGATATTCATTTTAAATAACTTTATAATAAGTTGATAAATAGAATGAAGGTTTAGGATATAAATAATAAGAAATCATTAAATACACAATAAAATTTCTTATTTTTTAAACATTTTAAATACCATCAAGTTAAAGTTTTGAAATTTAATATAATTTGAGTAAGGTTTATGTTAATATTTTCTTAAATGAGCCGGCTCACGAGCTAATAAGTCGAGTCGGGGCTGGTTTGAGCTTGGATTGTTTGCTCCTCAAGCCCAGTTCACGAGCAGTTTATCGAGCCAAGCTTGAGTGGCTCACGAGTCGGCTCGACTCCTTTGCACCCATATCTTCTCTCTTCAACAACTATAAATTCAAGATTATCTTCAAGAAATTGGCTTTATTTTGGAACAATCTTTAGATTTCAAGTACAATCAAACATTAAGGTTCCATTAGTTAAAATTGGCCCAAATTTTTCGTACTTGCAGTTGGAACTCTTATTGTGCCTGATTCTTCGCCCCAAATAATAAAGCCTTTTTCTCGGAAAGGAATTCATGGAGGGTAAGAAAAAAATTAAAACAAAGGGCCAAGCTCTTTTAATAATTAATGCAACAATTTCTAAGAGGATCTTTGATTACAAATATTAATGGGTAGAATACATTAAAAGCTAGATATTAAAATTTCAAATGCTTCATTAGAAGAAAGAAAAAGGCATTAATATATTTTTAGATAATTGAAATTCTCGGCTTAGTTCATCTTCCATGTATTCATCAATTTGGTGAATTATAAATGCATCACATAAAAAATTTTCACACACTGCCACCAGTTGCTACTTGCTACCATTGTCGCTACCTGCTGCTACATGTTGCAATCCACCATACTCATTGTCCCTTTCCATCGATATAGTTTGCCGCTGCTTGCTTCCCACTATTATCTGCCTTGCATTACCTATCACCGACCATTATTTATCAACTACACTGCCCAATCGCTACCCACCGTCAATACTGTTAGGTTTAGTGGAACCCAGGCCCACTTGTACAAATTAAAAGCTTGCACGCCACTATTAAATGCTTGCACACAACCATTAAATGCTTGCAGAAGAAATTGGATTAAATATTGGCTGCTCTCCCCTTCGCAATTCTATATAAGGCGTTGGCTCACGATGAAGAAAAAGAAATTGTAACGTTCCAAGTTCACCCTCCGTCTCTTCTGCGATTTGTTTGCGGTGAGGACTTCCCTCTTTCCTGCGATTCGTTCTTCTTCGGTGGCTCACGGGTAAAGGAGGAGATAGGAGGTCTAAGGAGTGGAGAGAGGAGAGAGGAGAGAGGAGAGAGGAGAGAGGAGTGAGGAGAGAGGAGAGAGGAGTGAGGAGAGAGGAGAGAGGGGGAGTTTTCTTGTAATCGTCGAGGTGATTGACGGGTGTATTCGTCAAAGAAATAAAATCTTATGCAACTCCATGGACGTAGGAAATTTGCCGAACCACGTAGATCTGTGTTCTTTTGATTTGCGAATTTTTTTTCTTGATTCAGTTTTTCAATTTATTACTAACACATTTTCTTACAACAATTAGTACAGAGCCCGGTTTGGATCTGAGGAAGAATGATGGCCACAGACGAAGCAAAAATTTCGGAGATCGAGAAGTTGGACAACACAAATTTTTATTACAGGAGGAAGTAGGCAGATGACTACATGTATGAGAAGAAACTTCATCTTTTTTTATTGGGAAAAAGACTGATTGGATTCTTTTGGATCGACAAGTTCTGGGAGTTATTCAATTAACTTTGTCGAGATCCATTGAACATAACGTCATCAAGGAGATTTAGACTGCAAATCTCATGACATCTTTATCATTATATATGAAAAGCATCGGCGAACAATAAGGTGCACTTGATGAAAAGTTATTCAACTTAAATATGAAGGAAGGTTTATTCGTCGCTCAATATTTGAATGATTTCAATACCATCAAAAATCAATTATCATCTATTGAAATTGATTTTGACGATGAGATACGTGTTCTGATATTGTTGGCTTCATTGCTAAATAGCTGGAAAGCCATGAAGATGACAGTTAGCAACTCTACAGATAAATCTAAACTAAAATATGATGATATTCGTAATTTGATTTTGACTGAGGAGGTGTGCGATCCCGACTTTCTATATAGATGTTTATTGCGATGTATGCAATTATATGGTTAATTTCCTTAATAATAATTCTTACTTTGCAACAAAGCCAAAAATTTGATGCCAAGGAAAAGCTAGGTATATTCTTCACTATGAAGCAAATAAGAATAAAGTTATAATATTTAAATATGGGATAATACGTAAGTATATGTATTGTTATCAAGTAATTATGACTTTTTGATTAAACCCCAAATATCGAACCCACATGGATATTTAGCAATATGCAAATTACAGTACAATAGAACATAGATAACAAAATTTTACTCAGCAAAAAGTTCTTACTTAAACTCTAGATGCTAAAATAGGAATGAAAGTTTGATTCTTTTTATAAGTTTTTTATAATTAAAAATAAAGTAAGCAACTAATTAACTTAACTAAATGTTTACAAGAAGAAGACAATTTAAATAAAATATTTTCTTCCTTATCATGAAACAGTAACAAGTATAGAAATTCTTTTTGTGGAATTAATGTAATTGTGTTATGTCCAATAAAAGTAATAATATTTTTAACCCTTACTAAAGATGTTATAAAGAACATTGGCTAATTTATTGTTTGAATAGACTTAAAAGATCGGTTATGTATGGAGGATATTAGCTCTCACTCTAGAGTTCTCTTATTTCCTTCCACTTGAGGGATAACATCTCGTATCAAAACCTAAAATTATAAATCAAATTTGGTAATTAGGGGCTTTAGCCTGTCACTCTAAAGTCCTCTAATTCTACATCATTTAAAGTTTATTTTCATATTTATTTGCACTAAACCCCATGAACCACATTCTCATCCAAGAAATAAAATATGATTCCTACCATTTGTTGACTGAGACAATACCATCTCAGATCTTACATGTTCTCACAATAGGTATTAACATCTTAATTGACCAAATCAAGAAGTAAATATAGTACAAGGTTTAAAATTATCAAAACTTCTTTCAACATTAAAGTTTAATACTTCACACAACTTACTTTCAATACTTAATTACTTATCATTTTAAGGAAAAAAACAAATAAAACTACTTAGAATACTGATGCACCAAAAATATATGAATCTTTAGACCTATATTTTATACTCATTTTGGCTTCCTGATAAATTGGATTGGTCTGCCAGGTTAGATACTGTATTATGGTCATACAAAACTGACTATAAGACTCTTATTGGAATGTCCCCATATAGACTTATTTTTGGTAGAACATGTCACTTACCAGTAAAGTTAAAGCATAAAGCATTTCGGGCTATTAAAGAATTCAATTTTAATCTAAAGGATGCTGAGGAGAAAAGATTATTACAACTCAATGAACTTGAAGAGATTAGAAATGACGCATATGAAAATGCAAAAATCTATAAAGAGAAAATGAAAATATGACATGATTGAAGGATTATAGGAAAGAAATTCGAACCCGGACAAGAAGTTCTATTATATAATACTAGATTGACATTATTTTTAGGAAAATTGAAATATAAATGGTTAAAATTGAGATGGTTAGGACCATTAAATGTGATCAAAGTTTAGCATTATGGAACTGTAGTTATTAAAGATCCTAAAACTGGAAAGATATTTAAAGTTAATGGGCATCGATTGAAACATTATTATGTAGGGCACATGCCACAATTTAAAGAAATCTTGATGTGAACTTCCAACTTTCGAAGATTGCAATGGCACCAAGGACGAGCAAAGGAAAAAGGAAATTGGAATATGATGACCAAAGATTGATCAACTTCAAAGCTAGTGTTCAATTGAATAGTCTATTGAATACAAAGAAAATAATTCCAGATCAAGCGTTTAAAAATCTGGGTGGTTAAGTCGAGAGATTGATTGTTGCTCGGTGATACGTCTAAAATACATAGTGTTTTTAGACACATCTTTATACCTATTTTTAAGATATTACGCTTTAATGGAAGGTATTTTTGTGTTTTTCTTTCAAGTACATGTAAAGAGGTGAAAAGTGCTTAAAAGAGTGAAAAACGATCAAATTTGAAGTAAATAGGTGAAAAATGTGCGAAAGTGTTTTGGCGCCTAAGCACCAGATCTGGTGCTTACGCGCCGATTAAATACAGAAGGCAAATACAGAAGGCCGCGCCTATGCGCTAGAGGCCCCGTGCTTAAGCGCCAGTGGCAGTTAATGGATAAGTAAATTTGGTTTTTTCCAATTTTGAACAAGTTTTTGAGGCACCTATTGG